TTTATACTTATCTATATAATAATATAAAAAATCTTAAAAAATAATTTACTAGATTTAGCAAATGTATCAATGCATCAATGTATAGTGAGAGACATTAATTATTGATGTTTTACATTATTATATAGATAAGTATAAAGGTGATATCATCGAAAAATGAATACTTCATAAGATATTTCATATCTCGTATCTTGTAAAAAATGTCAGAAAAAAGTAAAATATCTCGAGAAATATTCATTTTTCGATTATCTTACCCTAGTATTTTTATGAGCAGAATGAATAGATAAATCGATTTGTACTAAAAAAAAAAACTATATAATTAAAAAAATAAAGTTGACCTTAAATTATTGACAATGCAATGAAAGTCACCAAAATATGTCTCCCTCCAAACCCTACACCTTTTGTCTGAAACATTTCTTTCCACTTTGCTTTATATTTATTATATTAATGTGTCTCAATTTAAATGCCCCATCTTGCCTATATATATATAAATAATTCTTTGCCTATCATATTTGCCCCTCCGAACCAACTAATGTTTTCATCTGACACATTTTCCTATCATAAAGAACAAGTGAAATATTTCAGATGCTCGAATTAGGCGGGAAACCTTGTGTATGTATATATATAGATAGGCAAAACATATTTTAAGATTATTGAAGTTTTTTTTAAACAGAACAATATATTTTTATCATCACTACATGATAGCCAAGGTCAAGACGATAATGCTGACTGACTGACACATATGCAAGCTGAAGAATAATTGCGAATGACATTTGTCAGAATTTCGCTACGGAATTATGCATAGACCCATTAATTAAATTCTATTCTTTTGTATTTACTGCAATGCCTATGTACAAAAAGCAACACGATTCTCAATGTCATTATGTATAAAGAAATGTGAAACAGGTGAAATATATGACGTTGCAATGCTCGATGTACATTTGATTTGGAAATGTTCGAAGAATGTGCAATTTTTCAACAATTTGTAATAGGATCAATTTATTGACTGTAGCCAATACAAAAGTTTCGGCATTTTCTCCAGTAACAAGTTTTGATCGTTTTCTTTTCAGTGACTTAATATTCCATGTTTTACAAAATAATTGAACTATGCGGTCAAAACTTTGTCGAGAAGGGTATCTTTTCTTTCTTCTCTCAGGGTATCTTTCTGCGTACAATCGAGAAGCTTGTACTGAGTTCCCTCCAGTCTCAACATAAATTAAAATCATTTCTATCTTTTATGCATCACTGCACAACATCATTGTTTCGCAGAAATAACATTATTTTTCAGAATCACTAATTCGAATAAATCACGACGAATTTCTATAGCGTCTTGATTGAAGTAGACGAAAGGAGAAACATTAATATATTGATATTGAGGCTACAAAAAACATGTCATTACTCGAGATTCAAGAATCATTGAAATCGCTAGGAAAACTAGAGAATAATACGTCCTCTATGAAATATTTCAAAGTATACAGAAATGTGTTGAAGTTAATGGACATCACGTTGAACACTTATTAAAATAACCCGAATAAAAATGGAATCTAGTAATTGTCTAGTCATGACATAGAAAAATTGGATTTTACATCACTATTAGCTAATAGTACTAGCTAGCCATTAGCTCGGAATATAACGCTCACTTCTTCTAATGGCTGTACTAGTAAAATAAATGAATAGCTACATAAAAAATAGTACACAGTCATGAGATGAAAAATCTCTGGTAGCCATTAGCCAAAAATGTAACGCCCATTTCTCCTAGTGGGTGTAACAGAAAAATTTGCTAGTAGTTAGATATAATAAAATAAAATGTATTATAATATGTAATAATAATATTTATAATGTTATTGGGAGTACAAATTAATTCGGTCCGTTTTCAAAAGATGGCTCTGGTTGTTATGAATGTTTCATAGTGACAGCTGATTTCGGTGGTTTCAGAGAGGTTAGACATCTGTCAATAATATTCAGTTTATATCGCTTAGAGTTTCATATAAAACCCCTGTTTTTTACTGTGTTAAATATGTCAAATTTTGTGTTAACTAAGCAGCATTTGCGGGAGGTTTTAATTTTCTGCTTTAATTGAAAGAAAAGTGCAGCTGAAGCATATCGAATGCTTGTAGAAGTTTATGGTGACAATGCTCCAACTGATAAATTATGTAGGGAATGGTTTTGACGTTAAATAGTTAAAGTTAAGTTTATATACAGGATGAGACAAAAATACCGGAAGCCCGAATTATATCGAAAAATATAAGTTTTATAGAAAACTCTTTCAGATAAAAGTTGTAGAATTTAAAAAGATTTAATGATCTTATCAGTTTGACCTTAGATGACGTTGCCAAAGTCAGGACAAGGTCACGTTGAATTTTTTTAATGGAACCCCCTACTTTTTATTGCATATTCTTATAGCTTTTCTGCAAATCTTTCTAAAGCACTATAATTTTATTCACTTTAAGTAAACAGTTTCCAAATTATTGAGCTTTATATGATAAGATGTCTAGTCTACAAATGCAAGATCGGTGAATGACCCAGCCAATGAAAGCAAGATTTGTAATTATCCAGCCAATTAAGACAAGATCGACAATAGTATCGCAATAATATCGAACAGAATAATAGTTAATATAACAAAAAATTAAAAAGGCTCAAATAAATTAAATGCTTAATGCAACAATAATATCTCGATTCAAAATACGGGATTGTGAAGAAAAGTCGTACAATATTACATATGAGTAGGAACCGTAACAGTTCAAGTCAAGTCGTCGGTTCATTAGTTTGAACTAACATGTTCGCACGCCGAAAAATGCATAGTAGACCGGATCATGTAGACATGCGTAGTAGATCGAATCATGCCGACCTTGCCATAGTTGGTTGGATAATTACGATCTTGCGTTCGTTGGCTGGATCATCTTGGATCATCTTCCAATTTTGCTTTTGTGGGATATACATCTTACTATGAAAAGTTCGATAACTTCGAAACGGCTTGCTTGAAATGGGTAAAATTATAGTGCTTTGTAAAAGTCTTTAAAAAAGGGCTATAAGAATATGCAATAAAAAATAGAGGAAAATTAATTTAAAAAATTTAAGATAACCTTGTCCTGACCTTGGCGACATCACTCAAAGTCAAACTGATAAGATTAATAAATAGATTTTTTTTTAATCCTGTAACTTTTATCTGAAGTCAGTTTTCTATAAAATTTATATTTTTTGAGGTATTTCGAGATCCCAATATTTTTCCTCGCTCTATATATAGCTCGCAGAACAAACTTCCAAACTTCTAATTTGAGTTATTTAACCCAACTCTATATACACGCACGCATGCACGCACGCACGCACGCACGCACGCACGCACGCGCACACACACACACATATATATATACAGAATATCCGATAATTCTTGGAGCACCACTTGTGTTCAAAAAGAACTAAAAAGTTTGCATATTATTTGTAAAATGGCAATATATGACAGCTGTTATCGAACGACAGACAATAGTACCTGTATATTGAATCTTGATTCTCAAACCTTGAATTTGTCGCTAAGTATAACAGCTATTATATATCTATAAATTAAGCCATTCTGATTGAAAAAGTGGATTTTACGATTTTGCAAATAACACGTAAATTTCTGAGTTATTAATTAAAAAAGCCTCTATACATGGTTATTTTCAATCATTAATAACTCGAAATTTTGCGTAGTTGTTTACAAAATGATAGAGAACTTTTCCGCTCAGTTTAACTCATACGACCTGTGCACAAGCGGTGCTCCATGAATTACCGGACACCCTATATATGTACACGAAGATAGTTTGAAAAGTTTTTATAAATTTCCATGAGATGGCGCCACATTCATAAAGTGACATCACTACTAGCAAATATTATTCCTCAAGGGGTTTTTGTCAAAATTTCAGTCAAATGCGACATGTTATTTATATTTGAATATGTTTCATAGCCATCTACTAAATCGATCACTTTCACATTTTCCGCAACAATGGAAGAAAATATGTTCCGCGCCATCATAAAATATTTTTATTTGAAGAAGTTAAGCCGCGCAGATCAAAGCCGAGTTGGATGAAGTTCACGAAGACTCTAAACCAGCGTTGAAGACTGTTTATTTCGAGAGTTTAAACATGGCCGTACATACACCAAGGATGAATCGCGCTCCAGCCGGACGCCCAGTTGAGGTAACCACAAAGGAAATCATTGAAAAAATCCATAATATCGTAATACAAGACCGCATGTGCGCGAGATGGCTGAGGCTGATTGCTGTAGACATCTCAACTGAACGGGTGCATAATATTCTACGAAAAATTGAATATAAAAAAGCTGTCTGCGCGATGGATGCCGCGATTGTCAAATGTCGACCAAAAACGCACTTGAATGGACATTTCAATGCAGCGTTTGACGATGTTTAATCGCAATCCGAAGGACTTTTTACGTCGATTCGTCATTATGAAACTTGGATTCATCACTTCACATTAAAGTCCAAACAGCAGTCAGAGCAATGGACAACGACTGGTGAAAGTGCGCCAAAGAAGGCAAAGACCATCTTGTCAGCTGAGCTGTTGGCTACTATTTTTTGAAATTTCTAATCATGATTGACTATTTGGAAAAGGACAAGACAATAACTTATTATGTGGCATTATTGGATCGTTTAAAAAACAAATTGAGGGAAGAATAGCAAAATTGGCGAGAAAAAAGTGTTTTTCCACCAGGAAAACGCGCTGATATCGACATATCGTGATGACAAAATTGCATGAATTTGATTTCGAACTGCTTTCTCATCCACCATATTCCCCGAAAATGGCTTCATGCAACTTCTTCCTGTTCCCGAAATTTAAAAAATTTGACTCGGTGGAAATTTTTATCGAATCAGGATGTCATCGCAGCTGTTAATAATTATTTTATAGAGCTTGACAAAACGTATTTTTCAGACGGGATGAAAAAAATTGGGAAATCATGGACCACGTAGACCTCAAAGGAGATTATGTTAAAAAATAAAATTAATTTTTTCCAAAAAATGTATTTTATTTGCTTTTTTACCAAAATTTTCAAATTATCCTCGTACACACACACACACGCGTGCGCGCGCGCGCACGTACGCACGCACGCATGCAATTTTTTTGTCTATATAATATGGTTCAAGGTGAGCTTTAAGATAATCTTAAAGATAATCTTTAAACTCACCTTGAACCATATTATACTAGACAACAAAATTTTCAAACGGCCCAGTAACAGCAGAATAAACTAAGCTGATCACGTTGCATGGTCCATCCTGTATATGTACGAGAGTAGTTTTATATGTGTATATATATGTGTGTATATATATATATATATACCGTTTCGTAACACGGTATTTTTACGGGATATTTTTGCGATATATANACTCATGCGCGAATGTCACGCGTTCTGGACGCCCAATGACATCTATTTAGAAAAGGTAACGAGCGTGACGAAAATTCGGACCCGCAATCATAATTAATTTAATGTCTCGGGTTATTAAGGGTTAAAGCCAGCTGGATGATCACCTCATGCGTCCGTCGCTCGGTGAGCCACGCGAGCAGGCCACCTGAACAGCGGTGCTGACTGCACTACTAACGGTCGCGTGGTGATCGGGGGTTGGGGTGACGGAGCTCACGGGTAGGGCCATCTGGCCTGCTCCCGTAGGCAGATGCCCCAGGGACAAGGAGATCCGCGCCCTACGACCTTGACTGCAATCACCCAGGACAGACGTGTGACTCACTCCCTTCGGGTGAAATGACGGCGAAATTTCAGATCTGTACTAAGTCCCGGGCATCCGTGAGTCGACATCATTGTCACGACTCAATGCGTAGCAACGTCCAATCGTGATGTCCGATCGCGACAACGCGTTTTTTCAAAGTATAAAAAACCTCCTAGGCCGAAAAACCTTGAAGATCGAAATAGTCAATTTTCAAACACAAATTACTCAAAGCCGGATGAAACGAAATGTCTGCAATTTTGAGAGCTGATTCTTTATTGTTCCATAATAAAAATAACATATGCGATGTGAAAATACTTGTTTTCTTAAATATCATAAATAATCATATGGTTTCCTCAAAACCATATTTCACGAAACGATGTACGTAAAATCTCAAAAATGGTTTCAACGATTTTCTTAAACTTTGTTATATATATTCTTAATACAATTATCTCAAATGTTTCAGGGGCGGAATTTCAGAAATAATTCTTAAAGAGAAAATAAATAAGATCTTAATGTGCAAAAAACGTCAATTTACACTTTTGCAAATAAAAACAAAACAAAATTATTTTTATTAATTCTGCTTTCGACACATTGGAAAGGGTTCCTTTTTTAGATAACAAAATTCGCTTCCTTTTTTCCTAGATTTTCTTATTGTGCGGAATCATGTATGGTCAATCACAGAAAGTTTGCGACATTTTTTGTCAGTGAATTTGGCAACGCATCTCATATCTAATAGGAAAATATATCTCCTGAAAAACTAAAAAGCAAATTCTCCTATTAGACACGGGGTGCATTCCAAAACTTGTCAAAAAAGTGTAGCAATTTTTTTGTGACCGATGATATGTCATAAGCGAAAGCGCAATCTGTATTGATCTTTATGATTACCTTGTAACATCTGAGAAAAAAAATATTTAAGAAATAAATATTTCCAAATCACTTCAGTCATTTTCATCACATAACAATAAAGAATCAACTTTCAAAATTGCAAACATTTTATTATATCTGATTTTAAATTATCAGTGTTCGAAAGGAGATCTATCGATCTTTAAAGGTATTATATGCTTCGAAAGCCATCCCGTGCGCGCGTTCAATTGCATTATGTTCAAAAAAGAGACGTTTTTGCGCAAACAAAGAATATGGGGTTCTATCTCTTTCTCTCTCTCTCTCTCTCTCTCTCTCTCTCTCTCTCTCGAAAACAAGGTCGCCTACGCCAAGAGACTATGTTCGTTTGTTGAGTTATAGTTATGAATCAACTGGGCGTTTACAATGCATCGTATCTCGTACGCGTATCGCGTGACGGGAAATAATCGCCGCAATGAAATAATGATTGCGCGTAAATCATTGGAAAGCGAAGAAATGGCGGAGCGTAGACGACGACGAGGGGAATGCGAGATGTGTACCTGTATCCCATGTCCTCCTCGTATTGAGCGGTCGCTTGGCTCTGTTGTTGTTGTTGTTGTTGTTGTTGTTGCTGGTAGGCGGTCTGCTGCTGGGTAGCCGTCGCGGCTGCCGGAGCGAGACTTCGTGATATGTTACTGCCGTTGCTCAGCACCTACGCGAGACAGAGAGACGCGAGAGAGCGTACAATTAGCTGTTAATTACGATAACTAGTCCAATTATAAAGCCGTTTTAACCCGGCAATTGTGACCTATCGTGAAATCGATATCCTACATCACACACGTCGATGGACGCTTTTAATGGATGCTCTTAATTCTCCCTTTTTTTCTTCCGAGTCTCTTTTTCCGTCTCTGGCTAATAGCCAGTCTAAGACGTCTTAAGTGAACGCTCCGTTGGAAAGTTCTTCCGCCGATGGAAGTTGCGCGACAACAATCCCGAATTATAGGGATTACGTTAAAACGACGAATAATGCACGGTGTGTTCCTCAAAGTTTCGCGGGCCAATGACTCATCCTCATTCGGGACATCACTCACCTATTTTGCAATTCTGCCAATTTATCTCAATCTGTTTTAACCCCTTGACATACAAATAAAACGGAATTTGATGCGTCCGAAAAATACTATTTAATTTTGATCAATGAACAGTTATGTGCAAGCTTAGAAACAGAACTTTTTATTTTGAAATTTGTACAACATTTGTTAAAAAAAATATAGTAAGTGGTACAAACGAGTACAAACGAAGAAGAATCGAATTATATAAAACATTTTTAGTTTTTATAAAGTTGAGCGCCAGCTTCACATCGATGCGATCTACAAGAAGCGTTAAGAATTGATAAATCGCAAGGATATTGTTTCCCATCACGATAACGCATACATTTCTGCAAGCCCGACAAAAATTCTTGAAGCTGGACTAGAATGTCTTATCGCATTCTCCACATTCAGCAGTTATTGCTTTTTCAGGTTACCACCTGTTTCGCTCCCTTCAGAATTTCTTGAATAAACAACACTCCCTTTTCGAGGAAACCATTAAACAGCACTTAGAACTGAGTTTTTCACTGACGAAAACAAGATGTTCTTTAAGCAAGGAATTATGAAGGCGAAAGATGGCAAAAAATATGGACCACAACGGCCAATACATTTTGACCAAAGTATTATTGCCTTCTAAATAAAAAAAAAAAAAAACTCGTCTTTCATTTACAGGTAAAAAATCACACAGAATTATTGATCAACCCAATAATTAAAATAATTGAAATCACGAGTAATTAATCGTATCTACATCGGAGAATAAATCTTAGATCGTCTTAGCCATCAATATTGAGAAACACATCGTACATTTCTTAATATTAATTGTGTTACGAATATTAATTGTGCAAAAAATAAAAAGAAAGAACAATTTCTTCTCGATAATGAAGAAGCTAATTATAATTGAATGGGAAGCAAAGTCAAGACTTACGTCGAGCGCCTGAAGCATCGCTCTGGCGAAAGCGTCGGCGTCGTCCTTACTAGAAAAGTTGAGCCCGTACACCTGTTTATTGTCCCTCCATTGGTGGAACGTGACCGTCGCTTGATTGTACTTGAGCCCTTTCAAGATCGCGCAATTGATGACGATCTCGTGATCCTGTAACTTCCTGCCGACCACGCGGAACGTGTTGTTCACCTGGTGATGGTAGAGCTGGACCTTTGAAAGGCCGGACGAGCTGCCGCTCGGTATCCATTTTTTATTCACGTCGTCATACACCATCACCGACGCGCGGGCGGATGATATGCTCACTTCGCTGAAACAGCAAAACACACGGTTTTTGTCAATTTGTTGTTTTCGTCAATTGACCCTTCCTTGATCGCGCGGCTTTTCGTTCTTCTCGTTACGTCACATTACGTCAAGGGCAAAAATGGAACGCCAAAAGATCTCTCCTCGAAATATCTTCCAAATTATCTCATATTTTAGAGTAAATAATTCAGACATATTATGTAACATCAGACAGCAACGAATGTTTAAGCAGCATATAAATATTATGAGTAAATATATCGCGAATTCTCAGTTAATTTAGAAAAACATCAGGAAATAAAGGCGTAAAAAATAAATGTAGATGATAAAAATAAAGGCAGAATGTTCGGACTACTTGTATAAGAATTAATGGATCGATCGTGCTTTTCTTTCTATTCTCGATGAAATAAGCAACTGCGACCAAGCGAATGTTGCAATCTGGCTAAGTCGTGGGCGGTGCACTGGTATCACTTTTTTCATCCGCTCATTCGAGAAAGTCGCATAACCAAAGCAGTGAGGCGAACTCTGATAGATCCCGCGATTTCCTCGACTTTCCTCGATATATTTTCTTCTACCTTCCCGATCATTTCTAATTTCCACGAATTTTTGATAACGGAGATCTGTCGTGTTTCTAAAATTCACTCAACGCATTCGCTTGAACGAACAACGCAAAATTGCGGATAACAAAAGGTTAAAAACGGATGACAACAAGCAGAAACAAATTAAAAAATGCAAACATCTCAAAAATACCCTTCGAACGACAGTGAGAAAAAAAGTTACAGCACTTCTTTTAGCGAGTTTCACAATCTGTATTTAACAGAAGAATTCACTTATTAATCACTTTAAAGCTAAAATAGAATTACTAAAAAAACCAACGAAAAATTTAGAAGCTTAATTTTGTTCAATTTTTTTCAATGAATCTTGTAATCTGAATCTAACAGAAAAATTTGTTCACTAGTAATTCCATAGAGAGAATAGAATGATTATAAAAGAAATAATAAATGCGGAAAATAAACTCATCCGACTGATAAGATGCATTTTTCAGATTCGAATTCGAGCGGGAAATAAATTTTCTCTCTCACTTAGAAGATTAAACTTTTCCCGTTACCGGATGCGTTCTGAAATTTATCAAGGCAAAAGTGTTGTTGCAATCTTTCTTTCCCCGACTCTTCCTCAGACACATTCTTGGATCCTTGGAACTCTCTCTCTCTCTCTCTCTCTCTCTCTCTCTCTCTCTCTCTCTCTACCTATCTATCTATCTATCTATCTATCTATTTATCTATCTCCATCGCGTCATTCAAAGAGGAGGGAAAACGAGAAGGAGCCTGCCGATATATCGCGATCGGCCAAGAAAGCGAAAGACAAAAAATCGACGAGCGGTGGCGGTGTACCACGAGCGGCCATCCTGCCAAGAAGATCGTTGTTGGCGATAGTTTGCGTGCTGTTGCACGCGCTGCAGTGGGTTTTCTCGCACGGTCTGCATCGTTAACGAGGAACGCGTCTTGGTGTCCTGGTCAGGTAGGTGACCGCCGAACGAATAAGCCTCATAAGAAGACCATCTCGTCCTGTCTCCACAGGTGGATGAAGAATTGATGCGAGAGTCCCACATGACGAACACGGGGAGAAGGAATTCCCTCTGCACGCTTAGACGCTGCTCATCACTCACAACCCCGTGTGTGTCACCCCGGAGGTCACATCGAACAGACGTGTTGTATTATCGGTTACGTCGAGACCGGTCGATCGGAAAACGTCGTGTCGCGGCTCGCTCGCAACGTAATTAAATATCCGGGCTTGAACGGCGACGCGGAAGAGCTTCGCGCGTGAGCTCGCTGTCGCTTTCACTGGGCTGAAAAACGAGGGAGCGAGCGAGCGAACAAACGGGCTCGCGCGCGCTGTCGAACGGAAAACGGGAACAGGACGAGATAGGATGTAGCGAGATACCGCCACTTCCTCGACTATCCTGCGGTAAGCAGCAACAGCAGCACAGTACACGGCCGGGCGGGAACGCGAATGATAACGCGGTCGCCGGTGAGACGCCGGAACGCAAGTAAGCGCGCCGTAACGAGAGCAAAGATAATCGAGAGGAGAGGACAGATAAAAGAAATGCCGTCGATAATTTCCCGATGTTGTCACAAATCGATGATAATGGGCCGATAAGCGATCACGTTGATCGTCGCCAGTCGAATCACCATCCGTCCCATCTTGAATCATTCGCTCGCTATTACATGTTGCAACATATACGTCCTTTGATCTTCTTCCCTTTGAAAGAGAAAACAAACCTCTTTCCTTAGAATCTTGGATGTATCTTGATAATTCGGACTTAGTACGGTAGTTTGGACATAGACTCGTAAATTTTGAACATGACTTATGGAAAATAAACATATTTTCGATCGCCTGTCGAGATGTAGCCCGTAAACTTGGTTCTCCGTAGAAATTTCCCAGATTTTCCCATATACAGCATAGAGATTTCGATAAAAATATATCCAAAGATGTCCCAAAATAGATCATTCCACTGCGATACCAGTTGAGAATCTGTATTCAGCGAAAAAATAGCTCAGTGAGCACTTAATAATTATTGCTCCTAATTAATACACTCTTCTGGATCTATTAAGACTCCCACCGACTAATCGACTTCCTATGTTAACCGTATTAGTTTGTGACATCATAGACGAGAAATGACATGGAATAAATTTCTTGCGTTTCTAGAAAACACAATGATTTCGTAATCTTGAAATTTATAAAACGTGCAAAAAAACTGAGATATCTAACCGATCAGCAGTACTCAGATAGCCGTGATAACTGAGACGACTGAAAAATGACATTACTTCAAAGATTATTTAGCGATTTTATGTGACATAGCGGCTAGATATCTCAGTACATCCACACATTTTACAAGTTTCAAGATTACAAAATCATTGTTTTCTAGAAAAAATTAGAAAATAAAATTATATAACGCAAGAAATTTACCGCATGTCATTTCTCGCCTATGAAAGAGTTACAAAGAATTTAAAATAACTAACTTAATACTACAATTACAAACAATAATATTATGTAGCAAATTTTTTTTAATTTTTTTCCTGAGTTGAAACTATTATTACTTACATTTCCTGATTACTTATGCCTCAAAAGTATAAGAAATGTTATTATTCCCGACAAACTTTGCTTTTGTGACCAGGACAAAGATATTCTAATATTTATTAATTTTCAATAAAAAAACGGCCGAATTTACGTCTTTTAGTTCATACAAACTCGGTTACAAAATAACATATGAACCAAAATTAACATATATGTATCTATTCTAATATCTATAACAGTTTCCCATTTTCCACAGCATTTCAGATTGATAAGTTATTGAGTAAACCTAAGTAACTTCTGGAATTTTCTAAAACATTCGAGAACCTTCTAGAACCCTCGAGAACGTTCTAGAACTTTCCAGTAATAAATGAGCAGTATAAATACAGTGGTCTTAAATCTACCGATTCAATTTTGTTCCAGCTGCCAAAGTGGATACGTATCTGCATATTTCACATACACACAGAAATTGCATCAAGAGACATTGCAAGCATTCAGCAGATATATTTTACACCAAGGATATATTAAATGTTGAACGTCACTACCAAAAACGTTACTACCAGGAACAAGAACATGATAAGAGACAATATTTGGAGATCGATTCGTGAAAATGATTTAGAATCAGAAATTTCAAAAAAATATTGGGTTTATGCTTAATTCCGTAGCGAAATTTCGACAGATGTCGTTCACAGTTGTTATTCCGCTCGCATATGCGTCAAACATAAAGTGTCGTACATTAAGTGAAAGCTGAAATTTGTGCTGACATTTTAAGGATATATTCATCGAGATCCGCGACGTATATGAAGTTTAATTATATTTTGAACATGGAAGGAAAAGACGTGTATTTTCGGTGCAGTTCGCTTTTTTATTTCCGAAAAGGCAAAAACGCGTCGTAAACTCACAAAAAGATACCAGCTGTATATGGAAAAAATGCCGTAAGCGAAAGTGTGTATCGGAAGTGGTTTGCGAAATTTCGTTGCGGAAATTTTGATCTCCAAGATGCTCCTCGCTCTGGTCGACCAGTCACTACTGATGTTGATCAAATCAAGGCTTTAATCGACTCCAAACGGCATTTAACGACTACAGAGATCGGACATAACCTCAACATTGACCAATCAATTATTTCGAGACATTTACGGAAGCTTAGGATGGTAAACAAGCTTGATGTCTGGATTCCGCACAAACTGAGCGAAAAGAATGTAATGGACCGAATTTCAGCTTGCGATTCGCTGTTCAAACGCCATCAAAACGAACCATTTTTTAATCGGATGGTCACTGACAATGAAAAGTGGATTGTCTACAACAATATCAGTCGAAAAAGATCATAGTCGAAGCGCGGGAAGGCTGCTCAGACGGTCGCAAAGGCTGGATTATACGCGAAGAAGGTCAAGCTCAGTAGCTGGTAGGATTGGAAAGGAATCGTCTATTATGAGCTGCTGCCACCCAACAAAACGATTCGACCAAGTACTGCTCACAACTGGCCAAATTAAAGCGAGCAATCGATCAGAAGCGGCTCGATTTGCCGAACAGAAAGGGCGTTGTGTTCCACCAAGACAACGCTAGACTACACGTTTCTCTGATGACCCAGTAAAAGTTATTGCAGCTTGTGTGAGATGTTTTGGGGCACCTACCGTATAGTCCGGACCTTGCACCTTCAAATTATCACTTGTTCCGGGCGTTACAGAACAATTTGAATAAGAAAAACTTCAGTTCCCTGAACGTCTTTAAAAACCACTTGGATGATTTCTTTGCCGAGAAATCCCAAGACTTCTATGAAAGAGAGATAATGAAGCTCATGGAGAGTTGGCAAAAAGTCATTGTACAGAATGTAACAATTTGGTTCATTAAAATCCCTTTTTTTCCTAAATATTTTGCGTTTGAAATTTACTCAATTTTCGCGATGGAATTATGTATAGACCCAATATATATTTCTAAATTTCTTGTAAACATTTTTGTGTAATTGTAGTATAAATAAATAAATATATATATATATATATATATTTATTATATATATTATATTATATATATTATAATATATATATATATATATATAT